AATTCATATGGTANATATGGAAATATTCTATAATTACTTTTCAAGGCAATTTTGCAAAATTCCAAATTAGATTTTAAATTTTCAGATAAATATCTAAATGATGTTTCTGAATTTTTAATTGAATTCAGTGCTATACCCTTGTTATTCTTAACGTCTTCATTTGTAACGTATTTCATCAATGATCCATTTATAGAAAGTGCCATATTACACAATTCAATGTCAGATCTCAATTCTTGTGATGCAAATTCAAATGCTTGAACATTACTTTGCAATGCTATTTTAACTAATTCTCTATCATTTTGATAATTTGGAAAATATTTCAATAAATTTCCATTTCTAGAAAGTATAATTTTCATAATATTGCTGTTACTGGTCAATAGTTTGGATTGATATTTAATTAATTGATAAGTTAACATTTTAATATTGTAATCACTAGAATTTTTCAAACTTGTTTCAATTAACTCTTCATCATTTAAAATTTTATCATATTCACTCTCCGGAAATTTTTCATAATTGATCAATAATTCATCTCCATCTTTTTTTACAATTTCCAATCTTTCACTTTGAAGTGTATTTAAAGTGAATTTACTTGATGAAAAACGAGCCAATGATGATGAACTGAAGAGCTGTGGTTTTATCAATTTGTGTGTTAAAACACCAAGCTTGACAAGTTGTTTCATTTTTTTTTGATTGGTAAAGCTTTGTTCATATCAAGTTCTGGTTCCGATCACAAGCCTGTCCAACCTTGTATGCTTCTAGTTGAACTACTGGTGTTGTTTTGGACTCTGGTGATGGTGCCTGCCACTGTTCCAATTTATGAAGGTTATGCTTTGCCACACTCTTCATCCAAACATTCATCATCCTCAAAATGACCATTATCAACAGATGATAAAGTGTGGAGATTGCAGCATTGCCAAATACAATTCCGACACTTCTTGGTAGTTGCCAGCTGGCAGGTTGGGACAAGTGGCCTTAATAGATTTAAGAGTGTTGTCAGGTCCCGCCAATTCCCTTTGTAAAATAAAAGGCTATTTTTACCTTAAAATCGATGTAGTTTTGAACTAATATGAATTGGATGAATCGACTAGTACGTATTTATTTAAGGCTGTGATATTCCGATCATCATCATCATTATTATAGTTGGTTAACAGGACGATTTATCATCATCAACAACAAAAACAAGAACAGCTTCCGAATCAGATCAAACCACAGAGGGTAGGAAGTTGCAACTCTGCTATCAAAGGTCCTGGTGTTTTTTGCTTGCTAACTTTGACGACACGTTTGTACCCTCATTGTTGCACAAATACCACTCTCAATTGCTTAAATGTTAGTATCATGATTAATTAATTATTAAGACTTGTTCTCTTTTCAGAAATACATCTCTTCAATAATAACACACTGTAAGTAGTAAATGAGAATATCATCATGACTAATATATCAGAATTTAAACGATCTATTTTAATTGGTAAAGTGTAGATTTATTTCAATCTGAATGAAGGTTTTCTTGAACAATTTTCTAATAACAATAATATAACAATAACAGTAAAGTGACCATGATAAAGGAGTGGAACTCTTTTGTAAGTATAATATCACTCAACATTTAATAATCAAAGAGGTCGCAGCAGTTTAAGTATTTCAGATTATGTAACAATGTAATGAATTGATTCATTTAAGGTAGGTTTATCATTATCAAGAAAATTGTTCAAAAGAACAGCATACTCAAACTTATCTTTTACATTGGACTAATGTCCCATCAACCAAGAAGACTTATGAATTTCCTGAAAGTGGAAATGTAGAAATTATTTATATTTATCACGATGAGCTCTTTTCAAATATTCAAATTGTGACAAAAGACACTGTTATTCCAATTACTATTCCAATTAAATTACAAATATCGAATGTGGATATCCCAAAACAATTACCACAAACACTCTCATTAAGTGACTCGGTCTTTCCACAGGAAAGAGTTTCGCTGAAAAATGTTTCCTGGAAATTCCAGTAAACAATATTGATTCATCCAAATATCCAAAAACTATTATTCGGAGTGTTGTTGATGAAGTATTTGAATGGTACTATTCGAAGAAAGTTTGGTTGATGATGAAGTACATGTTGAAATATGGTCAATGTATATTTTGAATATATACATGTACCTATCTTGATGAAAACAAAATTCCAATCTATGAAACTCGAATATGTATTGCTATATACTATTACAAATAATCCCACATTTGAATTTCTGATAATGGTCCAGTACATCGGAAGATATTGGCCAATTAGTGAAAAATAACTTTTGTCAAAATAATACTATTCTCAAATTAAAGTCTACAAATACTATTGTTATAATGATGGTAAAAATTAATGATGATGGTTGGTGTGTGTTCTGATGATGATTCACCAACTTGAATTTTTCCAATATCAAAATTACTATCTAATTCCATAACGATAAACTTCCACATAAAACTACTATTTTTACTATTATATTGATGATGTATAGATGATGTATAGATGATGAGGTTCAATTCTTGGAGTGGGAAGATGAAGAACCACTCCGAAAATAAGCTACTCATAAAATTGATATTTTTTATGAATGCAAGATACTTCTTTGTTGAGGTCGCTGTGAATATTCTTTCGATGTCTTTGAGGTTCAAAACTGTGCAATTAGCTTCGGACTCAAAACAATTAAGGAAGTATTGCTTCCATTTTTATTTTGCTTTACTGGATTTTCCAGGAAAGATTTCTTTAGGAAACTCTTTCCTGGAATACCCCAGCCAGAAATCTTTCCGGCCACACTTGTCGTTATCTTTAGCAACCATTTTTACTATTTTACAACAAACTTTTTGCCTCTGTTGCTAACACCACAAAGTCGTCCAGGGTCTGTGGTGGCGTATTGCCTCCGGCAAGTTGCGCTAATTGGGCAAACATCATCAATCCTCTGACTTTGTCTGACCTATTGGCACAAGTGTTTGCTAAGCTGAAAATATCATTGAACTCAGACTCAATAGTTTGGAAGAACTCAATGAAATCCATTCCCGTTATGTACATTGGATCAATATTTGTTTTTGTTGAGAATTGATACAAGAAAAAGAATGGATCGGTAGTTAAAATTTGTGCAATTTCCTCATCACTAAGTGGGCTTACAATATTTTTAACGCTTTCTTTGAAGTTGTGATTTAGGATTGTTAATTCTGTCACTGTATCAACCAAAGGCATATCAAACTTATCCATTTGTTTTAGTATTTCACAATAGACAAGAAGAGCCTCCTTTTTCGTAGCTCGGATAGAGAGTACAAGAATTGTATCAAACATATCTGACAACAGTCGCACAGATAACCAATCTGGAGTGGTGTGACCAAGAAGGAAGCCTCTCGTGTGTCTGATGTGAATGTTCAGTTTGGGATATAAAACACCATTTTCTTAGTAGTACCGTTTGGTGGTTTAGTGTGTTTCTCGATCTAAATTCGAGTTTGAATATAATTTTTGTACATATTCACAATTTATTTTGTTGTTATATGAGAATTGATTTTTTGTATTTTATTTTTTTGATAAATTATTGGGTGAATATATATATATATATATATATATATATGTGAACAAAAATTATATTTATCTATGTTAGAAAAATCATTTCCCTTTTATTCTTCATCATGCTCCTCCTCATGTTTTTTACACATCCTGTCTTTATCAAATCCCATTCTCACTACATCCTTTTCATCATAATTCCTCGCAAATTCATTTATCTGTTCAGATTACATTTATTTACCCCTTAAAAGTGATTTTCCATTCTTCATTTTACATGATATTTTCGGTGATTTCTTGGTAAGAACTCTTTATTAGTAGACTTTTTGTATTTCATTTTTTTCTGTCAACAGGTTTCACATATTATAAACAACAAAAGGTTT